TGAATGAGCTTGTCTTGGCAGGGGTTACACTACACCTGAAGGATCAGGTTTGCAGCTTTGGGGTGCTGCTGAATCCTGGAGGATGAATCCTCATGGTGGAGACTGACTCCTGGCCTCCTGTTGGAGGCTCAAGTCTCCCACATGCCCAAAGCACCTTTTATCGTCTTTGGCAGATTCACCAGCCACAGATGTTCCTCTGAAACTGTGATCTGGCCATGGTGATCCACATAATACACTTTACAGGGGTCTGTCTTTAAAAGCTATCCAGAATCTTCAGTTGGTCCAAAATGCAGCATTCAGGGGTTGTATTGTTTTTGTTTGGTATTTGTGTTTTTCATATGTGCATGTGTGTGTGCACCTGGAACTCATGGTGACCTCTGCTGATTGACCCCTACTGGGGGCTTGGAGGATATTCAGAGAGGGGGCTAAATAAAGCCTGCCCCTGCCTCCCGACTGGTGGTATTCCAAGGAGGTCTCCCACCCAAGTACTTGCCAGAGTTGACCCTGCTTTAGCTTCTGAGATCTGACAAGATCGGGCTTGAGGTCAGGGCAAAGGGTTGGATTGTTTATCACTCCTGTGCTGAAAGATCTGCCCTAGCTGCCTATTTTGTTCTTACCTTTAAGGCCCAAAGCAGTTTGCGGCCAGGAAACCCAAAAGACTGTCTACTTCTGTACTATTCAGTCCACCAGTTAAAATTTTCTCAGGCCTGGCTCTAAGTGCCCAGGGCGAAGGGTTGGATTGCTTATCATTCCTGTGCTGAAAGATCTGCCCTAGCTGCCTATTTTGTTCTTACGTTTAAGGCCCAAAGCAGTTTGGGGCCAGGAAACCCAAAAGACTGTCTACTTCTGTACTATTCAGTCCACCAGTTAAAATTTTCTCAGGCCTGGCTCTAAGTGCCCCCATCTGCAGAGCTGAGATTTCTGTTGACCAGAGACAAAGTTGTGTCAATGGTGGCAGCTCACCTTTAGAGTGACCTCTCCCTTGAGGCTTACCTGGCACCTATTTTACTGTCCTCTAGGTGCCAAGCCAAAACATTTCTCTTTATCCAGGCAATTAATTGGATGATCCAGTTTTCTAATGCTATTTTCCTGGTCCCCTTCTAGCCTGAGGGCCATTTTATGCCCCGAGATTCTGCAGCTTGTTTTAATATTGATAATTTTTATGTCTGTTGTCTTTACTGTTTGGTGTCTGTGAGGGTAGCAGGGCTCTATAAAGGTGGCATATACTTTTTATAAATCAATAAATATTAACATTGCTAATCTCATGACCATCTCTGAATGATGACTAATATGATCTGGTCTAAGGATCCTGGCTACACATAAGAATGATGTACCCTCACATCAAAGCTAGGTTCTGACTCCTGTTCGGTTTTTGTGTCAATATCCCTGCCCCAGTGCTAGGAAAAGGGAGAGAACAAAATACAGAAATATAATATACAGAATAACTGAGGATTACTGGAAAGTGCTTTCCTACAAAGGATCATACTTCATTTTTTCTGTCGCATGGTTTTCTCTCACTGCAGTTTAAACTGACCCATATAATCAGTGTATGGGATGATAAATGAGATTACTAATTTTTATTCTGTTGTCAGGAAAAAAAAATATGAAGCTGCCCTGTATCACACTAGACCAGTGATCCATGTAGCTCCACACTGTCTACCCCACTAGCAATATTATGGGGGCTTAGCCAGAGAGGGTTCCCCCCCCAGCATTTGAGACCCTTTACTTAGAGATCTCAGGGGCTGAACCTGGGGCTTTCTCTGTGCAAGGTAGGTACTCTGTTGCTAACCCACAGCTTCCTCTCATAAAAATATAGATAAATATGTGAAGCTGCCTTATACTGAGTCATACCACTGGTCTATCTAGCTCAGTATTGTCTCCCTTTGACTGGTAGTGGCTCTCCATGATCTCAGGCAGAGAAAGGTCATTCCCAGTATCTTCTGCCTGAGATTCTTTAACTGGAGATGCCAGGGATTGAGCCTATAACCTTCAATGTCCACAGCACGTACTCTACCACTGAGCTAACTTGATCAAATTCCAAATGATAATCTAAGGTTAAAAGATTCAGGCAACACAGCAAAAACTTGTAGCTAATCCTGTCTCTCGCTTCCATCATCCATCAACACTTCAATAGTCCATATCTTTTTATGAGAACATAAACTTAATTGATATTCATATAAGCCACAGACAGAAGTAGCACTTCTTCTTTCATTCTGTTCATCACTCTGTGAATTTACATAATTAAACAAACTGTTTGCAAACCCTCTTGAATTAACTACTGTAAATGCTAACGGCTGACGAAAACATGGAGGCAACTCAGATCTAGTTCTGGGGTTATCAACTGTTGTAAGCAAGAAAACCTACAGCTGATACAATAAATCTCATATAATTATTCCAGGGACTTGTTACACAACTTGCATATTAACTCAGCTTAAAAATGCATTGATGAATTCAACTGAAGTCAATTAATTACATTTCCAAGTCAGATGAACACAGACTCAACACAGTACAGGTATTGCCATGTTAAATATTCAGTGTTGAAGTAACAGGAGATTATAGCCTTCCAGTTGCCTATGCACAAGAAGCAATCAAGTGATGATGTGTGAACACACTGGAATTAATACAAAGTCTATAACCGTAATTCCAGTTATAACTGGAATTAATATGAAATCTCTAAAGAAAAATGTGGTTCAATTTAATTTGCCAACGTTTATTAAAATAGACAAGGAATACTTTCACACTTGATACAAGAATTCCCGGAATGGTCCTTTAGTACAAAAAGAAAATTGAGTATTCAACGGGATCATAAATCATACAAGAAATAATAATGCAGAAGAGAGCACACTTCAGTGGGAATGGTTCCTGGTGCACAAAGATGGAACACCCATGACCAAATCCCAGGTATTAACATTTATTCAAAGGTATACTGAATTGGAGTCCAATAGAATTATCCTCTATACACATGCGCACAAGCCAATCAAAATTAGGCACTTCACAGAGCAATCATAATCAGAGTTACATTCTTGTGGTCCTATAGGCAAAGAGGGGGGGAGGGGAAGACAAAGGGATAACACATGCCACACAACAGCAGTGATGGAGTTAAAGATGGCCACAGCATATGGCATGGATCCAGGGACTGGGTGATCCTACCTACCTAGCCTGCCTGATGGAGAACATGTGGGATGGCAAATATTGGTATTCCACATGGGCACAAGCCACTGTGTGGTTCTCCTACCGCCTGGGAATGAACTGGATAGCAGCCCCCCAAGCTAGGCATGTCCTGGAACAGCCATAACCTAAGATCAATTAAGGGTATGCAGGCACTGTCCCCCACACAAAAAAAATGGATTCAGCCCAATGCCAAGCTGTCCCCCAAAAGTTGTGATGTGAATATGCAAACTTAAGAAACAATAACAAACTCCCCATCACAATGTGCCACAATTAACTGAGGGAGAGAGAGTGGAGAAACCAGGATCAACTGACCCAGACTCCATTGTTGAGTGTGGTTATAAAGGGGCTGAGTGGACCAGAGTGAAGACTTCACTCTCCCAGGTCTGCCCAGGGACCATCACCCCACCCAACCAGCCAGAGGGGGTTGTGATCAGCCAGCCAGGAGCCAACACCACAAAAGACAGGCTGGGCTCCAGTAAACTACCACATTGGCTGTGGGAAAAAGACACCCCCTTTGCTCTGCTCCAGGCCCTCACAGCTGCAAACAGTGCCCCAGGTGAGCCTGAGAACAGGGCTTCTAAACCCATGACGTAAATGCTTAGAAGGGTATAACTCTGCTTAGGATTGCACTCAAAATGCTATTTGTTTCAACCATGAGTTTAAATCTCCCAGTGAAATCTATGGGAATTCAAAATATTTAACTTTGTCTGGGATATTTGAGATATTCAATTTAATTCAATTCAAAACCTTTATTGGCATGGAATTTGAGATATCTAGATAACTGACTGCCACCATTTAAAAAATAACACACTAAAAAATTAAAAAGAAATTTACCCAAAATACATATGCCTTTGAATAACTGGAGCTTGAGTCACACATGCATCAACAGCCGTCAGCAGAATCTTGCCCAGCAAAATTATTTATGGTAGTTCACACCTTAAAAGCATAAGAAGAGCCCTCCTGGATCAGACCAATGGTCCAGCTAGTCTAGCATCTTGTCTCATACTGGACGGCCAACAACAGGACATAGAGACTGAGGCCTTCCCCTGATGTCGCCTCCTGGCTCTGCGATTCAGAGGATTAGTGCCTCTGAATATGGAGGTTCCCCTTAGTCACCATGGCTAGTAGCCATTGATAGACTTATCCTCCGTGGATCTATCTAATCCAGACTGTCAAATATATGGCCCAGGGGTAACCTGCCCATCCAGGGCTCTTATCCGGCCCATGAGCAACTGGGGGGGAACCAGTCCAAATGTGGATCGGAATGGTCTGTATTAGAGTATTATACCCCCTGCTGAGGTCCCTCCCTTCCCCAAACACAGCCCCTCCCGAGGGTCTTCCCCCAGATCTCCAGGGATTTCCCAACCCAGAGTTGGCAACCGTAAGGGGCAAGGAGGGGTGGTTTCACCCCAAGCTCTGCTGAGAAGAAGTATGGGTCATGCTCAGTGGTAAAATATCTTCGGTTCCTAGCATGGCCCGACAAAGTGACATTTATGTCAGATCTGGCCCTCATAACAAAAAGAGTTTGACACCTCTGATCTAATCCCTTTTAAAGCTGTTTATTCCTGTGGCCATCACTACATCCTCTGACAGTGAATGCCACATTTTAATCACTTTCTGTGTAAAGTAGTATTTCCTTTTGTCTGTCCTGAAGTTACTGTCCATCAGTTTCATTGGATGTCATCTGGGTCTAAAATGCTTGGTTTTGATCTGGATATGTGCTCTGACAATTTTGCTGGATTCTTTGCTGATCAAGTCTTTAAAATAAAGACTGCTGATAAAATATTTTAACACAGCAAGAGTTATGAAACATCACAGAACTAGTTTACCTGTGAGCACTGGCTCCAGCGACCCCACTCTGAAACTACACATTCACTGGGGCAATAGAGGGTACACTTTTGAGTGTCAAGTGGAATTTCAGACTGGTTACAAAACTTATTGGCCACAGTCTCTCCTTCGCCATCTTCAGTGGTGTTTACACATCTACAGGAGAAGAAATGTGTAATTGGTTGAACATTCCATGCTGAACAAATCACAAACAACAAATTGTGAGTACACCCTGTGGCTATCTTTTGATTTATTAGTGATTCAGCATGATTTAATAATTCTGTAGCTATTATATATGCTAATTTTGAATTGGATATAATTGTTAAAGATTCGAACCCTAAGTCTTCCTTCAGCTTGCACTGTGCCCTCTTCCCTTGCGAGGTGGTCTTCCCCTGTAGAATATGTTCCTAGAGTGCTAGGACCCTATGTTTATGCTAGACCAGAGTTTTCCAATGAGCCCAAATGCACCTATCGCTAGACCAAAGTGCTGCACAGTGGAAGACCATCTTTGCAAAGGGCAAAAGATGGGTACAAACAGAATCAAGGATCCAAATCAAAATTTTCTTCATCGCTGATGGTCTCCAAATATTTGTGAAGAAAAACGGGGGCTGCACCAAGGCAAAACAAAGATGAAGGAACAAATTGGTGCAGAGGGAAATAATCTTTGAAAATAATTATTAAAGATTATTATTATTACATTAGTAAAGATTCTATTTCCCTCAGCACCAATTTGTTTCTTCATCTTCCTCCAAATATTTGTCTCATCTTGTATCTCACAAGATTCTGATTAATTGAATGATCCCCAGTGTAGAACAGAAACATGCAATGAACGAAGGCATTAAACCCAGGGCTATTTTTGGGCAGGAACGCACAGGAACGGAGTTCCGGCTGGCTTCCAAGTTGGCCACGCCCAGCAGGAACTCATTAGCATAATAGGCCACACCCAACATCCGAAACTCATTAGGACTGGCTACATTAGGGGTGTGTGGCCTAACATGCAAAGGAGTGCCTGCTACAAAAAAAGGCCCTGGGTTTTGACAACAAACAAGGTAAACAGAATAAGAAGCAAAAGGTGGGTGTGGCTGGATGAGCACACTTCTGGTAACACAGGGTGTGGCCTAATATGCTAATGAGTTTCTGCTGTTGGGTGTGGCCTATTATGCTAATGAGTTCCTGCTGGGCTTTTTCTACCAAAAAAGCCCTGATTAAACCAAACACTAATGCAGGGCAGAGATAGGATTACTATGGGCTGGGAGCAATGCTTTCATGAATGAAGCAAGTTTGCAGAAGTGATTTTTAATCCTCTTCTTCTTTCCACTATAGCTCCCTGTAACTCTGAACAGCCGTTGATAACAGTCTGGGAACCCTCCAGATAGTGTGCCACGTGGCGTGGCAGGGGTTCACCAGGAAGGTGGTCTTGGCAGAAATTGCCTCCCCTTTACGTGCACTTGGGTGGAGCTCCAATCTGAGGTGTTTAGTCTATTCCTAGAAGAGTGACTCTGCCTGTTCTCCCTACTTTCTGCAGCTGTAGACCACATGGCTTAGCTTGGGTTGCAGCTTTTTCCAAGAGGTACAAAAAGCTGAAAAGAGACGGGAAAATGATATTAATCAAGTCAGTGAATTTGTTCTAAACAGAAGTGTTTAGATCTAAAGAAGATTTTTTTTCCCCTCTACAGACTAGCATTATTTTTAAACTGTCTCCTACAGCATAAACCAGATGGGCCACTTCCAGAAACCGCATAAACATTGTGTGCTTTTTAAGAAAACAACCAAACTCTAGAGAAGGTCCTGGGAACAATACAAGAAACAGGCCAGCTGGTAGAAAGTGCCTTTAAGTCTCACCAGCTTATGGTAGAGTTGCCAGTCCCCAGGTGGGGGTGGGGGACCCACCAGGTTGGAGCCCCTCCCCCACTTTAGGGCTATCAGGAAGGGGGGAATGGCCACTGAAAAGGGATGCTCTAAGGTTGCCAGGTCTGGGTTGGAAAATACCTGGAGACTTTGGGGGAGGGTGCGGTTTGGGGAGGAGAAGGGCTTCAGCATGGTACAATGCCACAGAGTCCACCCTTCAAAGCAGCCATTTTCTCCAGGGGAGCTGATCTCTATCAGCTGGAGATCACCTTATTCACGGCGGGGGGCTCCCGGATGGTGTCCTGAGTTTTCATAGAGTTTTCCCCTCAGTACAAACCTAGGTTTACATAGAGTTTTCCCCTCAGATGGCTGTGGCCCCGCCCCCAGCGTGCCTGGCGTCATCATGTCACATCCGGCTGACATGCACGCCGGGGTGGGGTTCCCCCCGGGGCCCAAATCCGCAGCGGCAGAAATCGGGCCTCCAAAGCGGGGGATTATCCGCCCCCCGGGGGGACTTGGCAGCCCTATCTCTATCAGCTGGAGATCAGTTGTAAAAGCAAGACATCTCCATGCCCCAGCTGGAGGCTGGCAACCCTAGGATGCTCTATCATTCCCCCCTCCTAGTCTCTGTGGAAGGGAGACAAGTTTAAGGGTAGAGTGTCCCCTGCATTTAAAAGCTGGACTGCGCAGCCTGTGCACAGTGCATTGAGTTGTTTGTTAGCAAGATGAGGTAGGTTAGAGCTCTCCTCGAAGGGGCCAAAGCCTGCCCACCCCATTCCATTCAGGATGACTGGTCGGCACTCACTTTTTCTTTTCAAATTGTGTGTGTATGGCTGGGTCCAGTTGGGGGGGGGGGGAGAGGCAGCAACTTACAACTTTACTTAGGGCCTGTCTATACCCACAGAAGTGAAGCTTGAGAGCAGCTGCCTCTTGACTCGAGCCATCCCCTTCTTTAACTGAGCTTCCTGGCAGTCCTTCAATTAGTCCTTACCCTTGCCTGGCAGCTGTGGGTTCTTGCTCTGCCTCCCACTCGTCCCCTGTGTGTGTGTGGGTGCATGGCTCCTAGGGCAAGTTGCTGCCTGGCCCCAGCTATTAATCATAAAGCTTCCAATCCTGCCCCTTCTCCCCCGCCAAAGCCTTTCAGTTTAATTCTTGGTATAAGCTTTTGTATGCAGGCACACGTCTTAAAGGTGCCACTGGACTCAAACCGTTTCTGAACAAAGTTTGTTTGCAATCCTTAACTCACTATGAAGCGGCACCTAGAAAGCAACTGAATTACTTCAGACTTAATCAAGTTACACCGTTTCAAGATGCTTCCTCAAATACCCATACCTCTCACAAAAATCACTAGGGTTACAGCCTTAAGCACACTTTCCAGGGAGTGAGCCCCATTAACTGAATTGGGATTGACTCCTGAATAGACTTGTTTGCCGTGAACTTAGTAGCCAGAACCAAGCCATTCTCTCTCAGCATCCACCCCACCCTTTCATCCCTCTGCAATATGAGAGTAATACTACATAGCACCTGATAGGGTTGTCAGTAAAGATTGCACCAAGATAATATTTGTGTCACTTGCAGGGGTCATTTGGGGGGGATGCGGGGGGACGCCATCCCCCCGGGTGAGGTGCGGGAGGGCGGGGCCTGGAGCTCCCTCCTGGTGCCCGCTGGAGGTCACCGCCGGCTGTGGGGAGGACACACTTCCGGTGATGTCAGGGTGTGTGGCATATGCTAATGAGTTATGCTAATGAGTCCCCCTAGCTCTTTTTCTACGAAATGACCCCTGGTCACTTGGTTGTCTCTGTGGAGACATTAAGCACTGTAGGATGGCAGAGGGCTCATCCCTGAACCTGAAGACTTCTACTGTGGAATGAATTTACCAGAGCATAGTTCTGGGGGGGGGGGCAGGACTTCCTGTTCTGTAATACATGCATACGTCCATTCAAAGAGTGTATATGCCTACCAACAGGGCTGGAAGCTTATTTATTATCTACAACATTTATAATGCAGGGATTATGCAGGGGGGGGGGAAATACAGACCCCTCTTAGGTGGTGTATGTGTGTCTTTACAACATCACATCAGAATGGGGTATTCCTACTTGGATGCATGCAAGAATCCCTCATCTGAGGTGGCCATTGCTATATGGGATATGACTGATGATCACATTTAAGGGGGTGACAGCCAGTGTTCCCTCTAAGCTGAGTCAGTGTGAGCTGGCTCACAGTTTCTTAGCCTCTGGCTCACACATTTTTGTCTTAACTCGGGAAGGATGGCTCCAGAGCAAACTAATCGATGCAGTAGCCAAATTGCTCGCTCACAACTTTCATGCCAGTAGCTCACAAAGTAGAATTTTTGCTCACGAGACTCCGCAGCTTAGAGGGAGCATTGGTGACAGCCCTAGTCATATTTTATATCCAAGACAAGCACCTTTGAGTACACACTGAATGATTTTCCCTGGCCATGCCATCCACCCCCACCGCTGGTTCCCTGGCCATGCCATCCACTCCCACAGCTGGCACTAAGGGCCAGGGCTGCCTTCCAGCACAGCTGGCAAAGCTTCCACACAGTCCCAGGAACTCTCTTTTTAGAAATAAGTTCTCCTCTCCCTTCCCTTGGCAGACTTCTGTGAGTGTAAATCAAAGTAATTTTTTACATTGATAAAGCATGCGCTAGTAGTCTACTACCAGCCGTGAAAGTGACACAGTGCTCTGTGCCTGCCCACTTTTCTCCTCTGCACGGGCACCTGAAAGTCCCTGTAAAGAGGATAACGTTACAATGATCTCTGTATGCCAAGTCCTGCTTTTTAACAAAGCAGGAAGAGCACTGAAAATGGCAAAATACTCATTGGGGGATTAAGAGCCCAGCTTTCCAGTGACTGTAATAAAGAATTATCTACCCAGCCTTTACTCAATAGCTTTCTCTTCTGCTCTGAAGGAGGATCTTAATTTTTTTAAAAAGACACAGGTTAAAAAGCCACTTAGCATGCTTGCGCAGTCACCGCTTCCTCAGGCGTTTTTGTGCCCTAGGCGGGGCTACCTTCTGGCGCCCCCCGCCTGCGCGCCCACCAATTATGGGGGTTGCCAACCTACAGGCGGGGCCTGGAGAGAAGGTTCCCGATGGGTCCCTGCCTCCCTCCGCCGCCATGAGTCCTAAAGGTGCTCCTGGATCCCCCTTTACTCTTTAAAGCTGCTCCAGACAGACAGACAGGGCGACCCATCTGCAGGGTGTGTGGGTCAAAATGGGGACTGGCTGACAGGGCTTTTACAAAGCGCCGCCGCACCGCTTCCCCCCACATCATCGCGAACTCAGA